GGATAGTGAGAATAGCAGCAATACTGGAAGAACGTAGTTGATGTCACTGAAGTGTACATGTAGAAATTTTTGAAATGGTATATCTTTGGCTATGTATATTTTCACCAAAAAAAAAAAGTTCCTCCTAGGTCGAGAAGGGAGACTGTTGACATGTCGTGGGGTTGTTAAGCAATGTCATAAAACAATATGAGTACTCACTGTTTAATGAGAAACTATTTGTTCTGTAAACCTTCACCTAAAGTACAATAAAAAAGAAAAGAAAAAGAAAATGTTCTGCATCTTACTTTGGTGAATGGCATCTGGGGTCTTAAAAGCTTGCAAGTGGCCACGTAAGATGCATCAATTGGTCCCAACCACCTGGAGTAAAGGAGACTGAAGAACACCAAAGACACAAGGAAAGTATTAGCCCAAGAGACAGAATGGGCCACATAGATCTGAGACTTCATCAGCCTGAGACCAGAAGAACTGGATGGTGCCCAGCTACCACCAATGACCACCCTGACAGGGAACACTGCAGAGAGTCCCTGATGGAGAAGGGGAAGGGTAGGATGCAGAACTCAAATTCTAGTAAAAAGACTGGACTTAATGGTATGACTGAGACTCTAGGACCCCCAGAAAGCATGGCCCCCGGACTCTCTGTCAACCCAGAACTAAAACAATTCCTGAAGCCAACTCTTCAGACAAAGATTGGACTGGACTATGGGACATAAAATGATATTCATGAAGAGTGTGCTTCTTAGCTCAAGTAGATACATGAGACTAAATGGGCAGCTTCTTTCCAGAGGGGAGATGAAAAGCTACAGAGGGTTAGGAGCTGGTTGAATGCACACGGGAAATCAGGGGTGGAAAGAAGGAGTGTGCTGTCACAGTATAGGGAGAATAATTAGGGTCACATAACAATGTATGTATAAATTTTTGTATGAGAAACTAACTTGAATTGTAAACTTTCACTTAAACTACAACAATAAAAAAAAAAAAGACATCCACTTGTGGTATTTCTGTTATAGCAATACTAGATAACTAAGACAGATGCATAATGAAAACTTCACCCTTTTTGATTTTTCTTACTTTGATAGCAATAATTAAACCTTTAAATATGAGTTTATCCAAGCCATATATTATGTAGACCATTTTTACAAGCAGGATGAGGAAAAGGGGGCATTCAAAATAATTTTGTAAATTGGTTTCCTTGAGAGAAATTTCTAAATTTTACTGTGCCTCTCGGTGGGTTCCAACTGCTAATCTCTGGGTTAATAGCTGAGTACTTAGCCATTTGTGCCATCCAAGGACTCCTAAATACTACTAATGAGAATTAAAATGTTTGGATGCTTTCTTTTAGCCAGCCATTGTCTTAAACTGTTTACAGGCATCATCTTATTGAATCCTCAGAGTAACCTTATGTGGTAGGTACTGCTATTAACTCGCTTTATAAATTATGAAAGAAAGAAACAACTAATAAAGGAAAGAGCTGAAATTCAAACCTAAGTCTGTCTTATTCCCCTGCTGAGTATCAACCACTACCTTATACTTCTCTTTATGTTACTTACTTTCCAAGGCCATATAAGTCATTTGACGTGGATGGGTTATTCTTAGATTCCTATTCCAAAGTTCTTTTTCCAATAATTTGAGACCATAATGTCATTTCACTTACCCTTTCTTCCAGACTAAAGTCCTCTCCCCCAGACTCTAGTCTAGTGGTTAGAATCCTGTTATCCATGGACTAACTACTGGACCTGGGATGTCTGTCTTTCAATTCTTTGTTTAGGCAGACAATTTACACCCTTCTATCAGACTATCCGCACTTATTCCCAGTCCCTTTCCCACTTATTTTTGACTCCAGCTAGCATTTTATCTAACTGTGCAAAAGTAATTGGATAATGTCTAAAATGAACTACAGATAAGTGAACAACGCCAATGTTAAGAAAAGGCTAAAATGGAATTTAGGGAGAGTTAGCACCTTTTTAATTTTCATATCTTTGTCTTCAAATTAAGTAAAACTCTTCTTTTGCCATGAAAATACAGCTCCAACACAAGCCCCCTTCACTCCCCATTGCAACCTTTTTTTTTTTTTTTTTTTTTAAATCTCTAAGTCTCTTTAACACCAAAATTCTGGAGCTTCTCCTACATTCACCCTTATTCTCAGCCCTTTCTAAGCCCCAGTTCTTGGAGCACTCTTGTTTCAGACACACTTCAGGAGACAAAGTTAATGGTAAATGGGAGAGAAGTTTTTCCCTAAGGGGGGGTATTTTTCTTCTGTGTGGTAAGCCATACGCAAATACTTATCTTTTGTGGAGGGCTGCTTCTCACTGATTCTGGGTGGTCGTGTAGAGTCTCTGGTGCTGGGTCTCTCCCGGTGTGGAAAATGCACCTCTTGAGCACAGCTGCTTGCCTGCCTTACCGCTCACCCCCGAGCTGATCAGGCCTGAAGGGCTCAGGCTCTTGCCAGGTCAGGTCTGACAACTCCTCACTGCTTCTGAACTGTCTCTCTCTCCCCCTGCTACTCAGTCTGGCTCATCAACTCTGCCTTTGATGTTCAGGCTCCCAGATGGCTATATATAATTGAATCACTTGTTTATTCTGGTCTTTGTTCTAAGAGGGTCCACCAGAAGCGTCTGACTACTCCACCATCTTGTAGGTGTCTTTGTTTCCAAGGTGTGTCTCTTGTAGACAGCATAGTGATGTGTCGTGCTTCTTTATCCGTTCTACCACTCTCTGTCTCTTTACTGGTGAATTTAAGCAATTTACATTCAGTGTAATTATTGATAGGTATGAGTTTATTGCTTTTATATTGTTGTACTTTTTTTTTGTGATACTGATATTTTCTTTATTCCTCTTACTTTCCTGTGCTGATTTCCTTATGTTTGTGGATTTTCTTTTTTTTTATTATTATTATAGATTTTGTGTTTGCTAAGATTTTATGATTTACTTCTTTTTTATTCTGATGAGATGGTTTATTAACTTTCTTTGTGATTACCTAGAAATTTACCCTTCTCTTCCTGAGTTTGAACCAGTCTTTTGTTACTTAATATTGCCTTGACTTCCTCTCCATTTGAAAGTTCTGTACCTACACTATTTATTCCCCCTTGTATTGTTTTGAAGTTGTAATCATTTACAGATTGATGTCTCTGTTTTCTGTTTTAATTCTTTTAGCTTTACTTTACTATTGAGAGTTCCTTACCTAGGTTGGTATCTGACAGATGCTCTCCAGTGTCCCAGACTCCAGTGTTGTCTGATGTTGTTGGTTCTCTAACTGAATGACTTCCTTTAATATTTTTTGTAAGTTTGCTTTTGTTTTTACAAATTTCCTTAATTTCTGTTTATCTGGAAATGTCCTAATTTCGGCATCATATTTGAGAGAGAGTTTTGCAGGATATATTATTCTTGGTTGACAGTTTTTTTATTTCGAGGTTTTATATATATTATCCCACTGCCTTCATTCCTGCATAGTTTCTGTCTAGTAATCAGAGCTTGGTCTTCTTGTTTCCCCTTTGTAAATGACTTCATTTTTCTTGAGTTGCTCTCAGGATTCTTTCTTTGTCTTTGTTTTGCAAGTGTGATTATATATCTTGGTGACCTTCTTTTGGGGTCTATCCTATATGTGGGTCATTGAACTTCTTGGATGGCCACTGTTTCCTCTTCCATGATATGTGGTAAATTTTCTGCTAGGAAATATTCAACAATCTTCTCTGTGTTTTCCATTTTCTCCCCCTGTTCTGGAACTCGGAATGCATGCAAAGTTTTGCTCTTGATTGTGTCCCACATAACTCGTAGATTTTCTTCATTCTTTTCTCTAATGTTTTCTCAAAGTGGTGTCCATGGATTTGTCTTCAATCTCGTTGATTCTGTCTTCTATTGTTTCATATTTGCTCCTAAAACCTTCTATTGAGTTGTCCATTTCTGAAATTTTATTGTTTATCTTTTGGATTTCTAGTTGCTGTTTTTGTATGGTTTCTAATTATTTATTTCGACATTTTGTTCTTGTATTATTTTCCTGAATTCTTCTATTATTTTGTCTGTTTTTTTCTTGATTTTAGCTATGCTTTCATTGGTTTTCTCTGTGATTTCCTAGATTTTGTCTATTTTACCCTTAGTTTTGTCTGTATTTTCCTTGATCTCTTTCTTAATCTTTGGGGGCCTTAAATATTAGTCTTTTGAGTTACATATCAGATAGTTTCACTGTCTTTTCTTTTACCAGAAGATCATCTGATTCTTTATTTTGGTCACTTGCTGGAGCCATCTTGTACTGCTTTTTTGTATATTTTGATATTGTCTGCTGTCTTTGATATATTAACATATTATTTCTTTATCTATTGATTGTGTGTTCATTTGTTTAATACAGCTTCTTTGTTTTGTTTTGATATGCCAGGGAGGGTAGGCTAGGTGTGCTTTGCTGCTTGCTTGTCTATGGGCATGATAGCTCTCACCACCTTGTCATGGTGAGCAGGGCAGCAACAGGCAGAATGAGCCCACTTTGTTGTGTGCTGGTTTAGTGACATGGCTGAGAACAGATTAAGTGGGCCCTGTTTGCCTTCTTTTGTTGGTTCAGTGGTGTGTGAACATTCAAAGCCCTCACTAGGTAGGCAAGGAGTGTATGGAAGTGGTACAGGTTCACTTTCCACCATTCAGCATCTGGTTGAGTGGCAGGAGGGGAGGACCAGTTCAAATCTGGTGTGGTGGCAGGCCTGAGAGCCAGAGATGCTCTTGTCACAGTGGCATGGTCGGAGCTGATGTGAAGAGGGAGTGGCATACAGGGCTAGGAGGTGAGGGAAGAAGTGAAAAGAGAGAGAAATAAAAAAGGTTGTTTGTGGGTGTGGATGGGACAGATCTTGGGGCCAGTGGGAAGGTGGGGGAGGTGGCATATGGGACTAGGTGGAAGGTACAAAGAAAAGAAAGAAAAAGAAAAAAATAAGTAGCTGTGCAGTGGGGGCAACTGGGTGGGGGCAGGACAGATCGGGGGCAGTGTCAGGCTGGTGTACCAGTGGCACACTACCCTTGGGGGCATGGTGGGAGCCAGCAAGAGGTGAGGAAGTGGCATATGTGGGTTATGTGGGAGTGAGAAAGAAAAGTAAGAAACGAAAAAGGAGAAAAAAAATGGTGGCATGGTAGGGGCTAGAAAGTGGGTGTGCAACAGACCGAAGGCTGGTGGGAAGGGAAGGGTGGTGACATTCTGAGCTAGCTAAGTGGGAGAGAGAAAGAGAAGAAAGGAAAAGAAAATGAAAAAATGGTGGTGTGATGGGGGCACAGATTGGGGTGTGGTGGATCCCAGGCAGTGGCGGGTCAATGGGCCAGTGGCTCTCTAGCCATGGAGGCACAGCAGGGTCCTACAGGAAGGGGGGTGCTGACATACGGGGCTAGGTGGGAGGGAGAAGAAAAGGAAGAAAGAGAAAAAAATAAAATGAATAAAAATAAATAAATAAACTGGCTGCATGTTGGGGGTCAGTGAGTGGGTGTGGGACAGGCATAAGGGCCAATGGGAAGGGTGGTGAGGTGATGTACAGAGCTAGATGGGAGGGAGAAAGAAAAGAAAAAAGAGAAAGCAAAAAAAAAAAGGTAGCCTGGTGAGGTAGACTACCTCACATAGTTACCATATGGAGAAAATGAGATAATTTAAGGCACAGTCCATCACAGTCCCTGCATGTGAAAAACAGCAACAACAACAAAAAATCAAACCTGTAGCTGTTGATTCCGACCCTTAGTGACCCTATAGGACAGAGTAGAACTGACCCATAGAGTTTCCAAGGTAGTAACTCTTTATGGAAACAGACTGCCACATCTTTCTCCCATAGAGTGGTTGGTGGGTTCAAACTGCCAACCTTTTGGTTAGCAGCTGAATGCTTAACCAAAAAACAAATGTCTGAGTCCCAGGCCCAACCATTTATGTATAAGTTTACTGGGAGATCCAAGAAAGGAGGCTGCTTTTCTATTGCTCCCAGGGGTCTACATCCCTGTGGGAAACTGAAATAGATAAAATAGATATTGAAGTGGAGACCTGTTGTCTCTCAGGGACATGTTGAGAGTCTAGTTTCTGGCAAGTTCAAGGAGCTAACATTCCTTTTGGAATCCTATACTAAAGCTTTGTTAAACAAAGATACAGTTCTATCCTCACTAGCAACAAGGTTGTTAAAATAGGACTGATCTTGGCATTCAGGAGCATTCTTTTAGTGCTCCCATTCCCCTTCACCTTAAGGAGACTGAAATACTGTCAGAAGAATCTCCTTTCTCACTCATATTGTCTTCCTCAGGATACCATGAAGCTGGCCTGCTCTGACAACAAGATCAATGTCATCTATGGCTTCTTTGTTGCTCTCTGTATTATGCTGGACATGGCATTGATTTTTCTGTCATATGTGCTGATCATGAGAGCTGTACTCAGCACTGAATCTTTGGAAGAGAAGCTCAAAGCTCTCAACACCTGTGTTTCCCACATCTGTGCTGTGCTCATCTTCTATGTGCCCATCATCACCCTGTCTGCCATACATCGCTTTGCCAAACACAAAATTCCCCTTGTTATGATCCTTATTGCAGATGTGTTCTTGTTAGTGCCACCTCTGATGAACCCCATTGTGTACTGCGTAAAGACCCAGCAGATCTGGGAGAAGGTCTTAAGGAAGTATAACATATGTCGGAGATAAGAACTTGAATATTGAGGTGATAAATTATCAACCAGTAAGTATTTACTAGCATTTATTATGTGTCAAAGGCCACTATGTAATAAAGGACTGAGGTGGGGGGGGAGTGAAAAGCTGTGCAGCATCAAATTTATAATAAAGTTGGGGGTACAATATTCAACAGAAAAGAAGAAATAATCAGGAGATATATGATATGTTTCACCGATATTTAATAAACATTTTAAAGTGAGTTGAAATAAAACTGTATGTAAAGGAGCAGTTGGGTTTTTAATTAACCCTTAATGGGTAAAATTGGACAATTGAGGTTATGATTCAATTAACATTTATTAAAAATATTATATAAACAATATATAATTATTATACTATCAAGGAAAGGTAAACTAGCAGAGTAGGTGAGCCAGGGGTATATGAGTGCATAGCATCTACTGGGGATGTTAGTGTGGCTAGAATAGCGAGTGTAATTTGGCAAATATTGAGTGATCATTTTAGATAGTATGAGGAGCAGATTTGGAGTACCTAGAAAAACTCTGAGAAATCTAAATTTAGTGGGAACTGGGCACCCAATTTAGTGTCTACAACAAACACCTAACATAATTAATCTGATTTTAAGAACGGCATGCAGGAATGCATGCGGAAGATGGATTGAATGTGGAAGGGATGAAGTCAAATAAAGACTGTTGCAATAATTGGGCTGTAGTATAATGACTCTGAGAGTAGGCAAAGAGAAAGCTCTAAAGCATTTATATTTAGGGGAAGTTGTTGTTATAAAACAAATGTATACTTTCTAGAAAATTCACAAATTCCACTAAGGAACTAAGAAATAATTTTAAACTTCCTAAGATTTTACAGTTTATCTAGTCTTTTCTCTGTGCCTTTTATTAAAAAAATATTTCTACCCCTCTATTATTTTATTAAATACCAAATTTCTGCAGTATATGAAATTTTGTACCTGGATACTTTGCACTAAAATTTGTATTTTAAGCTTTTTCTCATGTATAGAAGAAATATTTTAAGGAAAATTCAAGAGATTGAGTACACAATTGTAAATTCAATATGTAGGATGGCAAAGGGTTAAGATTTACATGAACATCTCTCTAGGGCATCAAGGTATTGTTACCAACAAAAAAAAAAGACTGGCTTGAATGATGAGTTCAAATTTTGTCTTGAAGATTTGGCACATTCAAAGACAGATTACTAGCAGAGAGTTTGAAATAGGGGACTGGCATGCTGCCCATCTGTCAAGACTAGAAAGTAGAATTGACCTCATCTGCAAGACAACAATACTTGGCAGTAGATATGGAAGGAAATATATATTTGGTCCTCAAGCACTACTGAAGATCTTCCCTCATTAAGTTATTTCTATTATGCTTTTTCACTCATCCATTCTCAATTCTGCTGTCTTGGTTTGATTTAAAACTTCCCTTTCAATTCTCCTGTCATCCTGTACCTTCTGAGTAGCAGTTGGAAATATATTTATGAAATACAAATTTAACCACACCATGACCCATTTAAAGCCCTTCAATAGTTGTCCAGTAATTTACAAGATACTGGCAAGTCTCCATACATGCAAACAAGGCTTTCCAGCTATCAGTCATCCCTCTCTGCCTTGCACTTCAACAGAGTAATACAAATCAAGTACACCATGTTATTCACACCTAGAGTTTTGCTTATAGTATGTTTTCTGCCAGGAATGTTGTATTAGTTTTATATTGCTGCTCTACAAATTATCTTAAACTTAGTGGTTAAAACATGAATTTATTATCTTCAGCCATGTAGGTTAGAAGTCTGACATGGCTCTAACCAGGCCAAAATCAAGGTGTTAGTAGGGCTGTGTTGCTTTCTAGAGGCAGTAGGGGAGAAAGTGTTTCCTTGCTTTTTCCAGCTTCTAGAGACCACCCATAATTCTTGGTTAGAGAGCCTTCCTCCATCTTCAAAGTCAGCAAGTTTACATCTCCCTGTGTCTTTCTTCATAGTTACATTTCCCTTTGCTTTTAAGAATTTATGTAAAGTTTGGCCCACCTGGATAATATGGAATAACTTCTCCATCTTAAAACACTTAACCCTAATCACACCTGCAAAGTTTCCTTTGCCAAGTAAATAATAAGTCACAAATTCTGCGGAATTGTTGTTCTGCCTATCACAAGTGCATTGCTTCAATTTTTCCTCCTGATACTTAGCTCCCTAGCAGTACCCAAATTAAATATTCTTCTTATATTAATACTTTGAAAGAAAGACCTGGCAATCTGTTTCCCAAAAATTAGCCAATGAAAACCCTATGAGTCACAATGGTCTGACCTGCATGGGGATCATTCCATTGTACTTGGGGTTACCTAGAGTTGGATACTGACTCTATGGCAGGTAACAATAACAATTAATATTTTGTTCCCTTTTCAGTCTGTATGGACTTCTACAACATAATCTACAACAATTATTAGTCTTTTTTATTTATTTTTTTGGTGTTGTTTGCCTTAGCCAAAGTGTAAACTTCATAAAATAGAGATGTCTATATATCTTACATAATTTTGTATCCCCAGTGCTTAGCACATCTTTGAACTTATTTGTTGTTAGCTAAGCTTGAATCAGTCCCAACTCATAGCAATCCTATGTACAACGGAACAAAATGCTGCCTGGTCCTGTGCCATCCTCACAATCGTTGTTATACATGATCCCACCATGGTTGCAGCCATTGTGTCAATCAATCTCTTTGAGGGTTTTCGTCTTTTTCGCTGACCCTCTATCAAGCATGATGTCCTTCTGCAGGGACTGGTCCCTCCTGATAACATGTCCAAAGGATGTGAGACAAAGCTTCACCATCCTTGCTTTTAAGGAACATTCTAGCTGTACTTCTTCCAAGACAGATTTGTTTTTCTTCTGGCAGTCCATGGTATATTCAATATTCTTGGCTAACACCATAATTCGAAGGCTTCAATTCTTCTTTGGTCTTCCTTATTCATTGCCCAGCTTTCGCATATATATGAGGCAATTGAAAATACCATGGTTTGGGTCAGGCACACCTTAGTCCTTAAAGGGACATCTTTGCATTTCAACACTTTAAAGAGGTCTTTTGCAGAAGATTTTCCCAGTGCAACGGGTCTTTTGATTTCCTTACCATTATTCCAATGGGCATAAGTAAAATGAAATCCTTGACAACTTCAATCTTTTTTCAATTTGTCAAGACATTGCTTACTGGTACAGATGTGAGGAATTTTGTTTCTTTTTTTTTTTCCTCAGTTTTGATTTTTTTAAATTGTACTTCAGGTGAAGGCTTACAGAACAAATAGTTTCTCATGAAACACTAGTACACATATTGTTTCATGACATTTGTTAACAACCCCACAACATATCAACCCTCTAACTTCTCAACCTTATTTTGGTGAAAATACACATAGCCAAAGATACACCATTTCAAAAATTTCTACATGCACAGTTCAGTGACATTGACTATGCTCTTCCAATTGTGCTGC